TTGCTCGTAATCATATGGCATTATAATATGTTGGTCCAAGAAAAAAGATAAATTTCAATTAAACTCCCTGATATATATGTTTCAGGTTTGATTTCTTTGGTATCTATGTGGTTATGTTTCTGGAAATCCTGAGAACTCTCATACAAGTCATTTGTGTTTTCTCTATTCTGATCATTGCTTTTGGTTTGTCGTTTTACATCCTTCTTAATAAAGAGGTAAGTTTATTGTTGTTAGGGTTCTGTAGCAAAGTCAATTGTATGAAATGATTTGCTTGTGTACGTTCAACAATGATGGTCGTGGGATCAAATCTCAGTCGGCGTTTGATAGTCCAATAACCTTGAATAAGTCATCCTCAATCATTCCAGTCGACCCAGGTATGGAATATCCAAGAAAAATCAATGCCAAGAGGTTTGGCTGAGGACAAACTGGTAGAAAGGATCCTTTTTCTTTTCTTTTCCTCTTTTTAAGTCGGTCTTGTATTTCAGCTTTAGTCGATTTAGCTTTGGTCCTATAAGATTAAATATTTCCTTAGGATTCTATATCGCTTGTGGTTTTTAATTTACAGGAATCAAAGGCATATTCCACAGCAGGTCTGTCTCTCTATAGAACCATCATAATGATGTTTGAACTGGATTACATGGAAACCTTCAATAGACCTTTTACAGATGACACACCAGATACCTTACATTATGGCAAACTCACCTTTTTTATGTTAGGAGTATTTGTCCTTTTGATGCCTATTCTTCTAATGAATCTCTTGGTAAGTGAACTTTATTTCATCATCTGCAAAAAAGTTCGCAATGCAGTTGCTATTAAACAAATCTTTGATCAGGAAGATTCACCGGGTTACCTTCTCGCCAGGGTAATTTGATAACTTACTGTTTAACAGTTAAATGCTATCTGAATCACATATCGATAAGATAATGTATGATTCAAATTGGAACCATTGAAACTGTTTATTATTATAGTAGATTATTGTAAAAGGGTTTATATTTTCTAGATTGGTTTGGCAGTTGGAGATATTGAATCTGTGCAAAGAAACGCCAGATTGAAACGTTTGGCCATGCAAGTGGAGATGCACAGTGATTTAGAAAGGAAGATGCCAGAAAAAATGTTCAGGAAAATTGATAAGATGACATACAGAATTTATCCGAATCACTGTAGAAATATGATATACGCGGTAAGTTCCTTTGAATGTACTCGTTTCCCTAGTCTAGTATTAGTGCTTTATCTATCGAAGTAAATCAATTCAAGAAACTTCTTTTACGTATATTTTGAAAAAGCATCAAAGAAACAATTTTTGCCTAAGATTTTATCATGGTTTGGATGAGACAAGACAGGCAGACCCACAAGCAGTAACTGCAAAATATCAATATGCATATATTTTGAAAGTAAACTAAGTCATTTTGTAGTGTGAAAGTTTTTTTTTAACAATATTTATTCAAGAATTACAAATATTACAATATACATATAGATAAACATATGGTTTTGGAAACAAGCTTTAAAGCTTATATAAATCCATTACCATGTGAAAGTGTGAAAGTTAGTTGATTACAAAGCATGTTTCAATAATTCCAGTTCTGGTCAAAGGTGTCATTTGCCGGTGATGAGAAGGGTACAGGTCCGACTGATATGGCCAGTTTACAGAGCAGTTATATTTATGACCAACTGTATAAGCAAAGACAGAAGTATGTTTTACTTTTACCTTTAACTTTTACCTTATCATCAAAAATCAACCGCAGATCTTAATGATCCGTTTCGTGCTTTTTTTTCATGGATTACTTCTCTTGCAGTACATGATCCTATAAAATTGTCAGATTGAGTTTTGACCTATTCTTAATCCAAGCGACTATGAACGAGGTCACTAAGGTCAATCTACCTATACTGATATTGTGTCTGCTATGTCGTGTCAACTCCTGTTACTTTAGATGATGAAAAAGCATTGGCCTTAAGTTCCAGAAACGTTTAGCACAATTTTCTATTGTGGTGTTAGTTGTCAGCAAAGCATTTGTCATTTGGCATTCGATTTGGAGACATGACATTGCTAGTAAATTTTATGTTATCAACTTTTATTGCAGAATGAAGGAGGTGACCAATCAGATCGAGAAGAATCATAGCTTGTTGAGGTTGATTGTTCAGAAGATGGAGATACACACGGAAGACGATGTTTGGGACGAGGGTCTAAGCCCCTGTGATAGCATGTCTAGTATAACACATCCAGGAAACTTGATGACTAAAAAGTGGAAGACATCCATGGACGGCAATAAAATGCAACAATCAGCCATTATCAAACATTGGCAGAAATACGTCGAAAAATGAGCCTATTGTATCATTTATTGTTTATTGTTGTGTTGTTAGATATTCAAAAGGCCAGTTGGTTATTGTGTACATTATTTTGTTGAGTATTTGTAAGAACTTTGAAAACAAAATAGGACATCGCTTTCAGCATCTTTGACAACCATGACTGTATTTTTTACATTTTCAGAACTGTCAAACCCAGAAAATGGCAAATGCGGTACAGTTTTGTTCAATTTTATACCGCTGTTCTGAAATCATTCCTATTTTATTATAGCTATAATGTGTTCATTGTACTATTACCCTGTTTTAATTGTTTATTTCTCTGAGAATACTGTGAGATTTGTTTACTGGTGTCAATTTGTGATTTTGATTAAAGCCATTGAAGAAGAGACAATTTGTGTTCGTGATTTCAAAGCAATATCCACAGAGGCAGACTAAGTAATAATAGTGGAACTATCATTCATTTCATGAAATGAAATAGTATGTAGAAATGTGTAGCTCATGTTGTCATTTAAAACAACCCCCCATCCTCCATTTTCTATATCTACATCTGAATAATATAAGAAAGTTGATTTATCTTCACACACCACAACCTACAAACCGACATAATTTAAAGCTATAGGTTCACTAGCTGGTATGTTGGATAGTTGCCATTCTAAACTAGGTTGGCTATGCTTCATAATTGTGAGACGATTGATTGATAAGATAATGACACAATAATTCGTTCTGGCACATTATTTGCCACTGATAAAAATCAAATGTAGGAATAGATTAATTTAATAGGTCTACATGATGTAGAATACCTCATGTTGCCTCCCCAACAAGTAATGTCGTTCGTGTCGTTCGTTGAAACTGGCATAGAAACAGTTTCTAGAAAAAAATTAGACCAAACTTTCGTTTGAGTTTTCATATTATTATTTGTTTTATTTTCAATTTAGCCACTTCGGTTTTTTGGCATATAAAAATCGCCAGACATCACAGTGAAGTTTAAAAACTTAGACAACTGAACGCCAATACCGCCACCATGGTCAATTTTCCCAACTTGCACATCGCATGGCATTCCCTTCTTCATTTGTTCATTACTCATTTACATTTCTAAGCATACCTCTCTAAAAAACTGAAATGTAGGCAACATTATTCATAAGTATAACAAGAATTTTTTCAACAATAACTCTTTTGATCGTCTAATGTGATGCGTCATGAGTTATTATTGTACAAACATTTCAAGGTGATGTTACTATTTTTAATGTAGTCTATTAGGTGAATGACCGTGATATACAAGGAAAAATGTATGCAATATATATGAAATCCAATGTATTAGGCCCCACGAACATGAGCTAGCTCTCACTGTGTTCGATGTGACAAATTTTACCTTATTTAACTTCCTGAATCATGGTTGAGCTCTACACTTCCTGATCCTCAATGAGGTAATGCAGGAGAGTACATTCTGTGCTCCATCTCCAGTGTACATCAATATTATGAAAGAAGTAAGCCACAACTAGGTATACATGCACAATTGCACATACGAGGGTCGCTTCCTTTGCTCATGCACCTTAACATGTAGACCGAAACATCCGTCTCTATTCCAGCCTCTGATAGTTATTTGAACAGATGTCTGACTGGTTTAGAGATAGAAAAACTAGGCCCTGTAAAATGGAGACTTTCCGCATCTCCACAGATGCTCAAATTTATGGAAACTCTACACCAAGATCTAGTGAAATATTCCCTTTACTTATCGTTTAATGTCGTATATCGATCACTTAGGATCACTGATCGTTTCAGAACTTAAAGATCGGGTTCGACATCCGTTTAACCAATTGATCTTTAGTCTCAGAAACAGGAATATTTTAGCTAAGCCAATCAGTAATAGTGTTCACAGCTCATCGTCAGAATTATCCGCGTTCGAATTTTAAAATGGCGACTCATGTAATTATGTTTATGTAAATATGCGTGTATTATAAAAAAAAAATTACTTAGAAACATTTTCACTTTTATGCTTCTTTGGAATATTGAAATAAGTGTGGAAATTTTCAAGCACCGCCTTTTTTTTCACGTGATATACATTTCTTGTTGATGTTATCCATTATGCAACGTGTAATGTTATATATCTCTGCTGTATTTGTATATTCGTATGACAGCCAAGCATAATAACTATAATAACAGGTTACTTTGGAACTAATGTAATAAGGTTGAAATAGATACAGTATGTATATTACGCTTTGATATATTTCTGTAGATGTGAAGTTTCGTTAGAGGCAAATGTTAAGTGTTATCATTTAAATCTGCGTTTCAATTCAAATCGGATAGAAAACTAATATTTTGAATATTTTTGTAGAAGAGTCTACATACACGTAATTTGTAATAATTTGAAAGGTGTAGTATATATTCATATTGAAACCTAAGTTGCATATTGGTATAGCCCTTCTTCATTAGTAGGTGGCCTATTAATGTAGCTTTCATTCCCTTAGAGAGCACTACGCCTGCTTCGCTTCGAGAATTTGAGCGACTCCAGATTGGTAGAAAACATCTCAAATTTGTAGCGATATAATTCACCTATATTTTTAAAAATAATCAAATATTTTGAGCCAAATTTTGTGGGTAGTTATATATAAATGGTATTCAATTTGTAAAAAGTTGTAAAATACAAATATTGATAACTAAACTATAACATCTAGGTTGTGACACCTGAATTGATTTACACCATGGAAAAGCTGGCATTACAGGAAGAGAGTACGAGCACTAAGGAGGTTAAGGTTCGTCGCTCCCAATGGTCGAGAAACTTGGACTTTGTGCTGTCATTCTTGGGATATACAATCGGTCCATCAAATATTTGGCGATTTCCTTATCTCTGCGCCAAAAATGGCGGCGGTACGTACACTTTTTTAATTACAGCGCCAAATGTAATAACAATATCTGAAGATGTTTGTATAAATAGATTCATAGCTTGAAGTATCCCTGGTTGCTAAAAGATCTATAAAGCCAATGTTTTTTTTTAGCTCATAAACATGCATTTCCGCTTTCCGCTTTGATCTTTGTTTTTCAACCAATTTCTCCAGTGAACTATATGTATCAATACTCTTTATTATAGCCGTTTTCCTAATACCCTATGCAGTGTTTATGCTGTTGTTTGGTTTTCCATTAGCATTGCTAGAGTTATCATTAGGACAGTATTCTGGTAAAAGTGCCTTTGCCGTATGGGACATCTGCCCAGCACTAAAAGGTAACGTACTTCTTTCTTGAACCAGAACCCATCTCAAACAACACAGGTATGAATATATGTTTTCCAAATTGAAAATAAAATAGAGCACAGATGTCACGGGAAGATTTTTCATTATTTTGTTTCTCCATTTCAATAAAACTGTTCACCAAAATGTAAAACTAAAAAGTGATAGGGAAAGATAACATAGGGCCTATCTCATAGGGTCTATCTCACTTGGGCATCCTTATGTGTATTTACATATTTGTTTCAGGCATTGGTCTTGCAATGAATGCTGTAACAGTATTATACGGAATTTACTACATCATTATATTGTCGTGGGTTCTGTTTTATCTTTACAATTCCTTTAAAACACCTCTACCGTGGACAAATTGTGATAATTGGTGGAATACTGCCGACTGTATTGAAACTTTACAGACGGTGAAAAATAATATAACCTTAACGAATACAGCATACAATTTTACAAGCCTGCAGTCAAATTTGTCAATGGAAATGCAGGAATTTGTCAACGATACGAGCATTATAACGAATGGATCTTATACAGCTCCTGAAGAATTTTGGAGGTATGTGTCGACGCTCTTTGAATGTGGTATGACTTTGTAAGATCCCCAAGTAGAAGATAAGTTTCAAAATTAGATATATACCGATGAAGACGGCAATGCCGCAATTGTTTTAGCTCTGAGTGATCAAAATGCTATTAACATTTATGTCTTTAAGCCATAAAATCTAACCAAGTACTCATCAAAAAAAGCACAAACCGGAAGTCGGTTATCATCCCGGAAGTCATGTTAAGAGTCATTCAAATATGTTGAGATGCATCCCTTAAGAATTCAACTAAATCTTCAATAGCACCACAAACTCAGTTGTTATGTATTGGTTTGCGTTGTCGCCAACTAAACAATTTCTCTTGTTTCAGCATCAATCTATTACGAATGTCTACTGGATTAGATGATCTTGGAGACATTCAACTGCATTTGGTTCTAACATTAGCACTGGGTTGGATAATAATATTCTGTTGTATCATTAAAGGTGTTGAAACTGTAGGGAAGGTAAGTGTTACCTGGCAAATAAACAGGTGAAACTTCGAGAAATATATATTGAAATGGAAGACTTATATCTACGACCGACAGATAATCGCCGTTATTTCGTCTGACAGCGATGGAAATGTTAATGCTCTTGAGATTTGTTTGCTGTTTGCTTGTTTTCCAGGTGGTGTATGTAACAGCTATTGGTCCATTTATAATACTTTTTATCATACTAATTCGAGCAGTTACTTTGCCTGGTGCTGTAAAGGGAATAGAGTATTATGTAATTCCTGATTTCGAAAAGCTAGCAGATGTACAGGTTTTTATATTTCGAATATTTCCAAACTAAATAGTTTTTACAATGCATATTGTGGTCTATTATTTTTCTTATTAATCTGAACAGTACAAATAGAAGCTATAGTTTCCCAATTGCAAAGTCTGCCACGAAAAGCCACGAAACATGCAACCATTGTCACAGTGTTGCTGATGGGTTTGAAAATGATTTATATCGTTATCAGTAGGAATTCCATTAAACCCGATTTATAAAGGAATTTCTTCAGATCATGGAAGGCGAGTTTAGTAACCCCACAGCAAACTAGCAGACCCAAAAACATAACAGATAGAGAATTCTTTGTAATAATTTCAGGTTTGGATTCAAGCCTTAATGCAGATATTTTTCTCCATGGGTATTGGATGGGGTGCATTTATAACGTTAGCTAGTTATAATAATTTCAATAGCCATGTCGTTAGGTATGTTAAAAGATTTTAACAATTATTTATAGACGCTCTTGTTTTGGAAATAACAAAACAAAACGATGGTATGAGGACTGTGATTGGCTGGTTGTATTCCTATACGTAGTACACATTTGCAATAGCCAATCTTAACAATTGGAAATATATGAACCAATAAAAAGAAATACAGATCAGATTTGGTTAAATTTGGTAATTGGGTTTTTCTTCCAATTGTATTCTTGCCGTGCTTACGTCATTGTAATTTCAGAAATACAATTGTATTTTGTATCGTTGGAGAAGGCACGAGTTTTGTGGCTGGATTTGTTGTATTCGCTGTTTTAGGTTTTATGTCTGAGAAGGCGGGGAAAAGTGTAGCAGAGGTAGCAACCGCAGGTAACATAATGTATTTTAAGATAGGTCTAACATGAAACAGTCTATAAGATAATAATTTCTTGTTCATTCTTCTTGTGGTTTGTTCGTTTATTGCACTATTAGATAGCTAATTAACTTTGAGAGTTAAATGGTCTACTGTCACAATGAATGGTTCGAAGTGAATGATGTACTGAAACATGTTCCAAATGCAATTGTCATTTTTGTACTAACAGGTCCTGGTCTTGCGTTTATAACCTACCCAGAAGCTTTAAGTGAGTTACCATTACCACAGTTATGGTCTGTTTTGTTCTTCATTATGTTGTTCCTTCTTGCCATCGATTCCTTGGTAAGTTAACATTTGAAATAGTTTTCTTGCTTAAAGAGAGGTTATCTAAACCATTTCACGATTCCTAAAATAAATTCGGTCTAATCACTAATCATTCGAGTGTAATTCCAGGCAGGGTATGCTTATTGATCACATGGTGCCACTTTTTGTTTTGAAATGCTTCCTCCTACATTCGTTATCAGTTCCCTCCCTTGACTATTGAAAGTAAATAAATATATTTTTCATTGGTTACATCCCTTGAACTTTTAGTTGCTATTTTGTTTGTTTGTTCGTTCCTGTTTGTAGTTTTAAGCGACTGTTTGTGATTAACATGATTGATATAAATCCAAGCATCATTAACTCAGCTGGGCAATTTTGGAGAGCTGAAACTCGAACAAGTCTACAAACACTGGAAATTAGCTTACGTTTTGATATTTGCTCTGCCTGGAACCGCAAGAATCATTTCCATTTTATTATGACGTTATAAAACGTGTTTCAGTCAGTCTGAAATCTAAAAGTATAGTTAGTTCGGAGCAGAGGTATGCATTCCCACCGAGAAATGGAAGTCAGTTTCTGGCCCAAAATCACTTTTGATCGGACTGGTGTTTAGGCCTATTCTTGATCTTTCTTCTCATACAACTAAAACACCAATAGCAAAAAAAAGGAAAATATTTGCCAGTCTCAATAGCCCCCTGTCTGTCAAGAAATTATCTAGATCCTTGCTCCAAATACAACTTCATCGTTAGATTGAAAATGAATAATATGGCCTTGTCTATTTTTTTATAGTTTGTGAGTCTTGAAATTATTGTCACAGCAGTTGTGGACGCAGTGCCTAATCCGACGTCGAAAACTCGTATATTGGTTACTGCTGTTATATGTGTTCTGATGTTTTTCGGTGGCCTGATATACACCACACAAGTGAGTTTCGACCTCACAAACCGGCCACTATGAGTGTCTGATTTTGTCAATATGGTAGAGGTGCGGTGGGGTTGCTGAACAAGAAACTTTGTAGAATAAAACGGGCGAGAAATCCAAAGTTTCCAAACCAGTCTCTGATAATATGTATAAAGTTAAAAGTGGACCAGATCAGATACCTTCGTCTTTTAAAGGGTTTTAAAAGATATCTTATTGGAAAGATGAAAAATGCAAGGTACCTACACAGGTAGGGGAGACCACACTTGCCTCATCCTGTTTGTTCTACAATTCAGCTTCGAATTCAACACTGTAAACAGTGTAAAAAAATGATCTCGACTGGATCTCAATACGTGCATTTACTTTTCAGGCGGGGATTTATATATTTCAACTAGTAGATTGGTATATAGCATCAATCTCGGTTTTCGTCATAACATTTGCTGAATGTATCATTGTTTCCTGGATTTATGGTAAGTAAGGTTACAAAGATATTAAGGACTATCTAGCCCTGGTGGCGGCATTAGCCGTACCCGTTCGTCAGACGTCTGAGGATTGAGTAGAGTCGGGTTTGTCGGCCTCGGGACAATCATGATTACATAAAGGTATCTGGAACTCGGGTTGACTTGCAGAATCTGGATATCAACTAGATAAAATCATCAACTGCTAGTTTCCATCAGCACAATTGCTCCTGTCATCTAATTGGTATCTGCGATCTTTCATTTGCCTTGAAGTAGCTACGGCTCTGCAAATCAGCATCGTTAACACGTGAACTTCTTGAAATTGAGGGCGAGATTTTAGATTTATATGTTTCAAATTTAGGTGTAGAAAGGTTTTCTGACAACATAGAAGCAATGACTGGAAGAAGACCACCCTTGTTTGTCAAAATACTTTGGCGATTTATTACTCCTTTTATTTTAGTCGTAAGTACTGCGAAGCTTATTCAGTGGTCAGGAGGAATGATTTCATTCGTAATTCAATTTGAAAAGATCTTTTAAATATGATTGATATATTTGTCATAATAAATTCATATCTCGAATCGCAGGAATCCCATGGACGGGAAACCGGGTTAGTGCAAATGGAAGCTTTAAGTGTTCACGAAAATGAAAGAGGGTACAAGTGTAGTCAGTTTTGACATTTCGAAGCTTTTGTCATTTCAGACAGCGTTTATATTTACCATAGCGGAGTTTAGCCCACCAACATATGGATCCTATGTTTATCCCTCCTATTCTAGTTATATTGGTTGGAGTATTGCCTTTGTCACTACATCACCTATACCTATATGGTTTATTAAAGAAATAAATCAGCGAGAGGGACCTTTATTACAGGTAGGTAGAGATATATTCCACTCAATGAACAAATAAATTGAGACATACATTGAAGCAAAAACTAACTATGTCTGTGAACACAAGACACAAATTGCTACCTTATAACATTTTGTGGTCTTCTAAGAGAAGATAATGGTCTTTTCGTGGTTTTTAAAATTTTGCCCGCTGTCTACAGACATGTGTGCCAAATTTCAATTCAAATATACTAAAGTATATAATCCATAAAATATACTAATCCATGTTCGGTTAATTGCAGAGAATAAAAACAGCATTCCAGCCAAACGACAACTGGCAGCCAGCAAAAGCCCAAATAGATAGTATACCAACCTCTACCTATGAAACTGCAACGTTTTTGGTTCAAAATCCACTTGAACGGTGAAGGATTTGTAAGCAATGTAAAGGATAAAAATATAAAATGCACAGAACTCTACTGTTATTCTTTATTTCTGGTTGAAAAAGAAGTTCTTTAGTTCTCAAGGTGGGCCTTCCTGTATAATGATATGATTCAAGTGTTTCGATATAGGACCTTCTTCCAGGATTTCTCTATGCTGCTTTTGTCATTAAACGTCTACTGCTTTTGACAAGATTTTTGGTTACTGGAACAGTTCTTGATTTTTATCTGAACTAACGAATTTGTCTTCACTTTTTATAATTTTCACTCGTTTGGTGTTTTGTTTGTTTCCTGGACGAATATTTACAATTTTTACAATTTACACAATTTCATAGTACACTTCTCGCAAGTCTTATTTTACACGATGTTTCCACAATTTAGATTGTCATCATCATTATTATCATCTAGACATCTAGATCGATCTCAACATCTCAACGCTTGAAATAATACAATATTATAATAAATGTATCAAAAAACCATATTATTAGGTAAAATCTACCACAATGTGTCATTTATGTTTGAAAGATGTCAATATTCGAAAATTTAAAAATAGCCTCGTTACAGTGGTTCTAATTAAAGTAGACTATATTCAGATTTTATGACGTTACAAACACGTATTTAGCTTAACATAATAGTGGCTGCAATGCATAGCTGAAGGGGACCTGACGAGATCATTAATGACGTCATCTAATTAATATTAACATAATTTCACACTATGATTCTAGTCCCCATTTACCAGCCTCATTCAACCATGTATCAAACATATGTATTACGTCTTGGTGATCGGGGATGAACAGGAAGAAATCAATCAATTATCAATTAATATAGGATCAAGGAGGGTAATTTTCAATTAGGAAATATATTAGTGATGATGCGCAGTCAAGGGATAACGGCCCATCGTGCATTAGGTTAAAATATTTCAAAGATTTCTTCAACATTTTGGAATTTTAAGCTCCCAACAGCTTGACTCTTCTTCTGATATCGGATTAAAAACAACTCAAGTAAGTGTTGAACAACTAAAATTTTAAGTTATATATTATATTTCATATTTTTTAACAAACTGTTAGATACATTTGTGTGTACTTTTCTATATTCTTGTTGATGACTTGCCCAACCAGTTCGGTTACTCAGGTTTTACGTCAAATATATTCAAATATTGAAAATTCGAATATACACTATACGAATATTGGTCATATTTTACTATTTGGACGAAAATACTGTTGCCTTTTCAGTCGTCTTATTGATCAGGTTTTCGGTCAATGAAAGAATAAACTTGATGGATTAGGTACAAATGAAAAATTGAGAATTCGTTTAGATTTAGATTCAAGCAACGATAAAGTGCACAGCCTTACAGTAATACTACCTCTTAGAATGAACATACAATTTAGAGTTCCTAACTTGGACATTAGTATATATTCATTAGTGGACTTACCTGGTGTCATAACTATACATCAGAATCCATATATAATCCGGTAAATCTATCAACCTTGGTACTTATTGAAAGACGCTAAAAAAAATTTTTGTTCAATAATTACTTGTAGTTTTATGGATAATTACTTAGTTTTACAGATTTATCAGATTATAAGGGAATTTGTTGTATAGTTCTGACACCAGATAACACCACTGGTGATTACAGACGCGTTTTGGCCAAGTTTAAAAATTCCAAATTTTGTGAGGCAATGTTCCTTTAAGGAAAGATTTTATAATTTATTAAAATATGGACCATAAAAAATAATGACAAAAGTACATAGAATGCTGGTTATTGGAGAATATTACCTATATTACGAGATATTAAGGATAAGGATGGCTGTATTCATTTACTGAAACGTAATGATTGCCTGAAGTGAAATTGATACATCGAAGTACTAATTAATCATAATTATCATATTTTTTAATTAATGGACCGTATCCACGATAACCATGTTATTGATAAGGGATTAAGTGCGAATTTTGAATGTCAATTTTTATGGATATAAAGTTATCAAATTATTTGCATTACACGCTTATAAAAGTTCACCCAAGCTTTCCACAACTCATTGGTTTAATTTAAACATATTTACTACAATTTTTAAAAGACAATGACTCAAGTTACAAAAACTTAAGTATCACCCCCGAACGACTATTACCAAGTGGTAAAGTGGACAGTGAGGAGCATTTCTTTGTATATACCTGAGAATGCAAGATGACCACAAATATTCAATCTATAATTTTTTTAGTAGGTAGATGTTTAATTTGTTTAAAACCCACTGTCACACTTCTTTTAGGCTTCAAAAAATTCTCACATATGTCGGCTTTTGAGAAATTCAAAAACCGATGTCTCAGACAAGTTAATGCCCCCCCCCCCCCTCCCCCTACAAAAGAAAAAAATATCCGGTGAGTTTTTCCACATAGCAAATTCACATGTAAATGTATATTTGGATCGCACTTGAATTTCAGATATGGTGCAGTACAGTCAATTATTAATAGCAACATTTGTAATCCTAATTCCATGTACCATTTCATATCCAAATGGTTCCCCAGACTCTTCTTGTTTCAACCTAATGCCAGGACATGGTGTACCTCCACAACAAACCAGATCACCTTATGTCATATTAGTCAACCAAACCCGGTATCGGCCTAATGAAATCATACGTGGTAAGTACACTTCTATAACCTTCAAGAACAACTGAAAATGAACTCCGCTAATAATAACGTGTTTATGTGATGTTCACCTTTCTTGATCTTATTATGTTGCTTTTGACTAAGTTGGTGAACTCGACAACCCCATGAGAGTTTACCTACAAGAATGGAAAAAAAAATTACAAGTTTCATATTGGTATTGTCTAATAAATGACTGGAACAGTAGATCATGCCGTGTCAGCATTTAATAAGTTTATATTACCATATCTGCGATAGGCCTCGGTAAAATGAAGAACATATGTATAATATTTATGTTTCTGAAGGCAGATCTTTCACCTCTATTCCACAAGAGGTTCTTGAACCTTGTGGCAATTATTTTTCTCGCATTGTGTTTCTTCCAATTTTCACCGATTGAGCTGCATATCATATGAAATGAAGTATTTATGGAAACAAAAGAGTTCCTTCTTTAAAAACACCTATTGGATCCCCTTATAATGATGATTACATTTTCAGTTATGATTCGTGGCTTATGTGGAAGAACATTTAAAGGTTTTCTGATAGAAGCTAGAAGAGCAGATCCGGGAATGAATACAACCGAATTATTAGGAGTATTCAGTCAAGTGGCTGGTACACAATGGAGGTGTATGACTGTAAGTGGATTTGACCTGTTCAACAGTAGATCTAATGATCACATGGCGTCATGCTTTGAACCAGATTATGGTCTATCAGTCAAAAACCCCGGTTGATGTCCAGTAGGCATATCACAGAGCGACAAGATTCTATATATATTCAATACAAAAGTAATCACCATATAAATTATCTACTTTAATTTGTATAGTTTAGTGGTGTAAACTCAATCCATTTGAATTTTGACTGGACTTTAGACTTATCAGACCCGAATATTTCTTTTTCAGAAAGGTTTAACACATACTAGCAATACACCAACAGGTTCCTTAATGTTTGACTGGATGGCGCCGAGCATGAGTTCCGGTCATGTGATCATAAAGTAAGTGCACATACTGCTTAAATGCGAGTGTAGAACAAGTCCCCATAATAATGTCAATTTTTTCAACAATCTTGATCAAGAACTAAGACGAAAAAAAGTTGAAGGCTCATAGCTTTGCTAATGGAATTTCAACCTAAATGACGGAATCCTACATAAATAAATATTCTATTTTTTTGTTTTCAGAGGAACTTTCGTTGAAAACTACAGAACCTATTGGGCGAGCGTCAACTCCGCAATTATTTATGACCCGAATTCCACGCCTTTAAGTGTGCACCCGTCAAGCTTACTTACGCCTTACATAACACCTTGTGAATCAGATCGTGCTGGAGCGGCCGTAGATACAACAACAACAACAACTACAACAACAACGACAACGACTACAACCACTCTACCAACAACAACAACCACAACAACTGTACCTACGACCAAACCACAAACTACGACCACATCAACGTTGGCCCCTACAACCCGACGCACATTAATCCCAACAGTAGCTCCAGCATTGACAACCACAGCTCCGAAAACAACTACCACTACTGAACCGATAACACAAGCACCTTTATGGGAAACAACGGCTTTCATTCCCTTCCACGATCCGGACCATGGATGGATCAACCAACCAGATGGTAAAAGTGTGCCTACAGTCCCCACCTTTAAAGAACCTGCAAATGCTACTGTTGTATTTGCAAATGAAGCACCACAAACGCCTGTAAGTATTTTGAAAATCCAACTGAAGAATTCTTTTTTCAACCCGTCTCCTTGTAAAGACGGCATAAAGTTATATGCAATAGATTTATCATACCATTCAGCAAACCACTGACATTGTTAACTTGAACCCTCACAAGACCAAACTCAATGTAAACAACAATTCTTATTTCAGATCAAGCATATATATATGAAACAAGAATGTGGAGCCACACATGGATGTTTCAGTAAATGCGATAGCAAAGAGTGTGAGTTTCTCGTCACTTGGAAAGAGTACGGTGAAAAGGTGACCTTTGAAGTAACTGCCACAGCTTTAGAAGGTATTGAAGATCAATATTTGGCAATTGCGTTTTCAAGAGATACCAAAATGGTAAGTTACTCTAAGACCATGTATTTATTATGCCATTTCATACGTATGGGTCCAGTATCACTTGGGGTTCTTAGAACGTTTATTCAGAAGTTAGCATAGTTGCTTAAAATCATTGATGTTGCAATGCTACAGTCCAAAAACTCTTTCAGCATGGAATCCTACATATACTTTGACATATGTACTTCCTGGCTATATTTAATGAACTTAGACCATAATTCCTCATTATACCCTAATGTCACCATATTGTTACTACTTACATAGTTAGCTTTGAGAGTGATGACATGAGTTGGGTTCTGGTTAAAGTATTTTCGGTTTTTATTTGTCTTTTGG